AAAAAAAAAAAAAAAACTTGATTGTCCATGAATCCTGGTGTCCCCAGAGAGTCCTGGAACCTACTCCACATGATGCTGAGGGATGACTGTATTTGCTCTGAATGCAATCCCCTTGAGCTCTTGTTCATGTAGCCACTATATATAGGATAGACCTAAGAACCACAAGATAGCCTCAGGAGGAGCACCTCCTTCAGGGCCATTTTCAAAGTTGTCCCTTGGCCTATGGACTAGGATCTCATGATTTAAAAGCTTGGTAAAACAAGAATGTTCCATGACCTAGAAGCTGAGATGACCACCTTGTCACTACGGACTCCTCATGCTACCTGAAGAAGTGGAAACAGAAAGAGCTATCAGGTGTCAAGGAGCAATGGAAACCAGGAACCCTGTCTAGACATCTAGCTTCAGATACTTTGTGAATAAAAGATTAGGTCATACAACTAGTCACACACCTCACATGGGATTCTGAGACAGAGGAGCAGAATCCACCCACACTGGGGACCAGCAAAGCTGACACTGGCATTCCACCAATTCACAGAGGCACCAGTGCTAGTGGCTCTGGTGGTGGCATCTGGCAGCCAGTGCTGATGTGACTCCCATTGGCACCAGCTCAATTTTGAGGCATGAGTTTGGGTATTCTCCTAGGTAGGGCATACCCCAAATCTTGTCCTTCATCCATAAACGTACCTTGTGGGGCCCAGTATCCTCTTTCCTAACTCCTTTAATTTTCTTTCTTTCTGTCTGTCTGTCTCTTTCTTTCTTTCTTTCTTTCTTTCTTTCTTTCTTTCTTTCTTTCTTTCTTTTTTTATACTGGGAATTGAACTCAGGACCTTGTGCTTGCCAGGCAGGCACTGTGCCACTGAACTATATCTCTGGCCCTAAATTCCTTTCTTGATTAAATTATGCAAAGTGGGTTTTATAGAGAAAAATGTAGAAGGGTGCATTTTAATGAGTAAAGGAGTAGAGAGTGTTACTGCTGAGAAGTAGAAAGTTCTGGTGTTTTGCAAGTTCTTTTTGCTGGTATATAGTTTCTGATTTTCCTAATGTGAACATTTCCTAATTAACATTTTAAATAATTTTTGAAAGTAATTAAAATATGTGTATCACCTTTAATTTTAAATGTTCTGATCTATGACTTTAAGTTATAGGTACTTGTATTTATTACCAAGCCTACCACTCTTTTTACATTCATTCATTCATTCATTCATTCATTCATTCATTCATTTTTAGTCTTTTTGAGGCAGGATCTCACTATGCAGTTCAGTCTGGCCTTAAATCCACTTTGTAGCACAGGCCAGGCTTGAACTCACAGTGATTCCCCTGTCTCAGCCTTGCAAGTGCTGGGGATACAAGGGTGTACCACCATGTCCAGCTTAACATGTTTTTTTAAAAAAAGGACCTGCAGTATGGGGGCTCACACCTGTTATCCCTGCACTCAGGAGGCTCAGCAGGAGGATCACTAGAGCCAAGGCCAGCCTCAGCTACGAAGTGAGTTCAAGGCCAGCCCGAAGTACACAGCAAAACTTTGACTAAAAAAACCAAAAAATATGGAAGGAACGGTTAATGATTAATTTTCTTTCTTTTTTTCCCCTCTTTCTCTCTTCTTCAATACTTATAACTACTTTTTCTTTTCCTGATTTTTAATGCATATATCTGGTAATCTAAACAACTAAGTTGAAGACAACACTATACAATACAACAAATACTGTTGAATTCATATTATCTTGTTTAGTGAAATTCTGCATTCTTTCTAATTTTTCTTACCATTTTGTATTCTTCAAAAATAATAAATAAAGGCAAAATAAAATAAAATTTAAAATACAATAAAAAAGGAAAAAATACTATAGTTAGTTTAACTGAAAGAAAATAATATTTTAAAGGAAGAGAAAAAATAAAAGGAAGAGGAAAAGAAGTACTCATTCACACGCAGGGAAAATAATAACCAGGGAGAATGCTGCAGAGCAATTCTGTTTGTGGCTTTACTTACTTTTATGAATAGTTAATATACTTACATAATATTCACAAAATATAAAAATGTGAGAAGACAGCATTTGGATACTGACCTCATGCTTGCCAAAGTATATAAAATATGGATTAACTGAAGCAGAACACCACTGAGAAGCACTTATAAGTACTAGTCTTTAGCT